TATATATATATATGTATATATATATATATATATATATATATGTATATATATGTATATGTATATGTATATATATCAAATTAAAATATGTAAAATTAAAAGGTGAAGGAATAATTAGGTCACAAAAATTGGGGTTAGACAATGTGAATAAATGCACAACGTGCGTGTCATGGCTGAGTTTCTTTATAAAAGTATATAAATTAAACGGCAGATTTGGCACGTATGTACAGTAGTAATATCAGTTAATATATCTACAAAGTATATAAGAACTACAGTTTTATAAATAATTGTCTCACTATTATGCTGCATACGTAAGAAATGAACAGACTGCGATCAATTATTTTAGGTTTCTCAGAAAACACATCAAGAAGAATAAACATTAAACAAATGCTGATAAATTTTGTTAAAATAAATTTAGTTCCATCCGATAGAGAAACATTTCTTTCAATGTGTTTGGAATAGTTTATGCAATCGAGAGTTTAGAGTTTATTCTATAACTTATAACAAAAGTGTTTCTTATACTTTGTTCATAACTGTATATACATGTAATATATAAACGTATGTACACTGACCAAAGTGACAACATTGAATCGTCTCACAAGGGGGAGAAAAATTTACCTTTTTCACTATTATTCAGGAGGAGCCTTATTCTGTATATATGAGTATAAATACATGTACAGAGGAGTGCACCATATCGTACAGTTTCAGGGGAAGTATTTCTCGAAAATATTTCCCCTGGAGCTGCACGATATGGTGCACTCCTGTGTACAGTTCCCCGCTGGTAAGTTGGTAGCCGAGACGACACAGGGACAAGAGGGATAAGCCGCTCAGCAGACGTATAGTAGTTGTGTAACCAATAGCGAGAATGCGTGTGGCTTCAAGTGTGTTGAAGTAGGGCGGCGTAGGACCAATAAGACCCGCATTCTTTTCAGCTGCCAACTTACCAGCGAGATACTATACACACGGAATTGAACTGTGTATCATAAACCAAGAAAAATTTTCAAGAGTAAACAAATTTTCTAAGATTATCTTTGATATTCTATTTTTTTTTTTTTTTTTTTTTTTTTTTTTTTTTTTTTTTTGTTGATATTCTAGTGAATTTTTGCTCACTTTTTGTATTTTTACTTTGTTTTAAGATACACATTTGATCTCTTTATTCTCAGAATAAGGCCCCAACTGGTCTATTATTCTCTAATTTATAACAATTTCATTATTATGAACGCGTGTATCGTTACGCAGCTATGTACTTTAGAATATATTTTTGTCTGCGCAAGGATATTTGTAACACATAATATATCTGTAACATAAGTAATTACAAATTAAGAACGCAGCTATAACGATTTGAGTAAAACAATAGAATCACCCTTTTTTACTTGCCGAACCGAATATATATAAAGATTACTGTACATTTATTTTTCATATATATAAAATATCAGTTCTTTCTGAAAAACGCTTAGCAGTCTGTCTTGTGATGACGTATGACGCTAAAACTTACTTAATTGTTACGAGTCGTTATGCTCCACTATCGATCTCGATGATTCTTCTAAAACGCAACTATCGTCGTACTGAGAATTCCCCAGACTCATATCTGCTGATTTTAACGTCGCGCTACATAAAATTTCCTCAAGATTTTCTTCTCGATTGCTATCTTCGGCATTATCTACACAAAACAGTATTTTTTTTTTTTATTTACGAAATTCTATTGAATTCCGAAAACACTAGTTTATCTAGATATAAAGTGCAAAAATTTACACGATTTCTCGCTTCAGATGTTATAATTAAAAATGACCAGAACAGATATTTTTTAAAAAAGTTTTTTTAACATCTGATTTAGAATTAAAAGCTTTGAATTTTAAATCAATTTAAATATATACTATTTATGTACAAAAAATTGCTTTTTTAACAACATTCTTTCAACTTAGGTTAAAATTAAACTAGAACATATACCACATTTTATGTAACTTATTGTTCAACGCACCTTCTGTACCAGACAGATGTTTCGCTTCCACGAGTATTTCCTTGTTTTCTAATGAAGTATTTAGTAAATTTACTATTTTAGAATTCGTGCTCGCGTTGACATCTTTATTCTTTCTACAAAGAAATGATACATGTTAATAAGTTATTGGAACTTTTCTAAGATTCATATATGCACATTTGAGTGCATTAATTGTTATATTTTTCAAACTTACTTGTGCTGTTCTTCCACTGCGAAAGCAATCGCGGGATCTGTTTTTAGAGATGATTTCCAATCGATTATTATCGCGTCCCTTTTTGGCAAACAAGAGTTTATGCTTTGCGCCACAGTCGTAGATGAATTAAAATTTAATGAGTTGAAAGATTGCGAATCAACTTCATCCTTATCTGAAACATCTTCTTTCTGTGTGTAAACACACAATACACCATAATTAGTGACATAATTATTTTCTTAGATTGCAGAAATGTATAAGGGAAAACTAATCAAGAGCGTCGTAGTGAGACAAAAATGATACAAGTCACCTGTATATACGTTTTGATGGATTCCGTTTTTTGTGATGAGTTTGTAGTCATCGGCAACACAGTCTTTGTTCGATCTCCATTATTTATAGGTATATGATTTGATTGAACATTAACTGAATTTGTATTATGCTGACTCGTAATACACAGATTCTTCCTTCCCATTATTACTTTTCCTAATACTTCCTGTGAAAATTATTAAGTTTTTATCAACGCAATAATCATCAGACTAATCATCTTTCATTGGTTTTTCTTTACTCATGTGTTGCTCAGAAGTTTAATTGCTAGAATACCTTGCCTGCGTGTGATAAAGTTACACCTTTCGCATCTTTTTGAATGACAATCACGTTAGCACTTAATTTGGTGTTAGAATACTGAGGCATGTTTACAAGTTTTTTAGAATTTATCGTGACATTCTATAAAATAATATAATATTTTAGTTTTATAACCTCTTTGTGTTTGTGTGTGTAATTATATCGCAATATTATTTCACATACGCAATTTAAATGAGCAAAATCAATAGTTACGTAGTTAGTTACCGGTTTGGCAGCAGATTGATGACTGTAAGAAATTTGTTCGGATGGCAGTTTTTTATATGTTAACATTGCAGAAGCTTGTTTCAGTTGAGGCGGTCCGGGACCGCTCGAGACTATTGTACCAGCTACTGCATGTTTTAACAAATGCGAGGAATCTAAAAATGTATTTTCACATTTACTTAATTTTACAAACATTTCATACAATTTTAAAGTTAATAATGCAAAAAAAGCATACTTATGTTTTGAGTGCTTTGTGTGTTTTCATTTTCCGTTTGCGCTTTATTAAGCGAAACATTCAACACACCGCTTGATGATACCACTTTTGTATTTTTATTCTGTATAGTACTGACTACCATCTTAGACTTATTGGTGTTGTTCGTAGAGGTTTTTATTGTAACTACATGTTTTTTTGGCGTAACTGTGACGCATTTATTCAAGTGTCCTGATACTTTCGTGCTTTCTTTAAAATCTGCATTATTCATTGAAATTAATTAAAAATAAGCAGAAGACTTATAATTTAAAGAGTACCTTATTGTCATAAGGTACTTAATATCTACAATTAATATTTATATTATTGAAAAGAAAAGATACTAACCTGAGATCTCATCAGGAGTAATTGGAAATGTAATATTTTGATGAAGTAGCTGTGATTCTTGCCTATTTTCTAATGATCGAGAGGTGTGACTTGATGAGTCAGATAGCACAATAACCTTATTCGGTGGTACTGATGGCAATGGGGAAGGAGATTTACGTTTTTTAGAAAGTTTCAATTCAACATTAGGCTCTTCAACAACTTTATCATCTATTGTCTTATTTTTACCCAAACTGGAATCCTAGGAGAAATATATAAAAAATATTATAAAAACATAAAAATATACATACAAAAATATTTGATACAAATATTTACTAAAGAAAAAAATTACAGTTGTGTGAATTTTTATCACATTGTTATATATACATACTTCTTGTACAACTTGTGTATTTTCAATATTTTTATGGTTGTACAATTTCTTATCAATAGATAAGTCTTCTTCTATTTTTGCTTCTGGTTGAGATTCAGTTTCAGCAGCTGTAAGATACAGATTGTATAAAAGCAAAATATAATTATATAACATCAAATTAAATTATATAACAAAAATGTCACAATAATTATTTACATAAACTTGTCGAGTCTTCAGACTTTTCAGGAATAACACAGTCATTAGGCCTAATGTTGCTTGTTGAAGCCGAGATTGCAAGAGACAAGCTATTGTTTAAAGTTGTAAAAGCTGTCCGTGCCTTTAATCTTGACAAAAGAGGTATAGTTCGGCGACTTTCTATCAACCAATCAATACCAGTATTTGCCCCATGAACGCTGCATTACAAGAATTTTACATTTATTTAAATAAATTAAATCACTTTTTACTATTTTTATTTATCTCAAGCAATATAACATACTGCATTTTATATAGAAATTATTTTTGGTATTTTTTTCTCATAACACTCTTATGTCTTATAAGTTATTAGTTTTCATCATGCAGAATACATACTGTTCTGCAATTGCTGCAAGATTTTGATCATTTGCAACTCTTCTTATCTCACAGCGATGTCTTTCATCAGAAATATGTAACAGCTTAGCCAGCTGTTGCAACAACTTCTGTTTATCATCTGTTAAAGGTCCTTGGGCACGTAGAACAGAGATCATACTTCCATAAGCTTCTAATTCTGCAGTACATAGAAAAAACACAAATTTTGTCAGAAAAATCATATAAAAAATACAAAACTCACATTAATTACAACATAAAGAATCAATGCTTCATATAAAAAATATATATATATATATTTATATATTTAACAATGTGTTCAATTAAAATTTGTTAGCTTGAACCATAGTAGAACCAACTATTTATTACACATGTCTCAGATATTAAAAGTATAGGTGCATATTTTTATTCTTCACAAATATATAAATATTTATATGTATAAACTTAACAATAATCTTAGATATTTTTACTTCTAAACAAGCTACTTAATTCAACTCTTTATCTATGCAATACAAAGGTCATTGTCTAATATTAACATGAGGTAAGAGCTGGTAAGAGCTATATTTTGAGGCTCTAAGTATGCCAGAAGGATGCAAATCTTCAGACTTATATTTTACAGTTACATTCATTCGTGTCTGGCAAAAGAAGCTGCCCTAAAATTCTATCCAATATGAAGATTAAAAAAGTGACATTAACGTGACACAAAAACCGTCGAGTTCAGAATACAAGAAACGAAACTTTGGCGCTTCCATACCAACAAGCCATATCCGTTATTAAATACACATGCTCGAATTCCTGATAAACTTGATTCTCTTACTTCGCGAGAAGTACACACAAATCTCGAGTCATTTCTAGATTGTTCGATCGTTACTTTGCGAAAAAAACGCACGAGACGTGACTCGCGTTTTTGTGTCAAAAAATATTTTTATATAAAAAAAATTTATCCAGATCGCCACTGTGAGAAGCTGCGGATAATGTACTCCTTCACCAACAAAGCGATTCGATCATGTTGGACCGCATAACCTTACCGAGGCGCCGATAGCTCTTTCTACATTCTTCTTTACTAATTCCCGAGGGCATGATTCCGTGTATCTTCTGCAACTAGTTCGGGTCACTTCAACGAAATAATGGAATCGCAACGCGTCTCCCACATTTTCGAAATTGACAGACCGAACCGATGGTGAAGCATCCCGCGCGCTAGTCAGCGCTAGTATACTACTTTATTACCATTAAGCCGGATCCACAATGGTCCGCAGACGCACGGACGTAAAAGTCGTTCTACAATTAGTCACAAATCGCAAGCACAGTATTTAGGTTGCGATTCCATGACATCTTTTTTTTTTTTTGCGTAAAGACCCTTATCAGACCACAGATTAGGATTGAGTTAGGTTGAAATTCGACTACTCAGAGCAAAGTACAGTTAAACTTAATAATTAATTTCTTTTGTTTTAATTGGCTAAAGATCAATTAAATCTCAATTTTTTTAATCCATAGTCTGATTTAAGTTCATCTTCGAACAGTGTCTGTAGCCAATGAGACAGCCAATTCGCCTAAACAACTAACGTGATTAGTCAACTCCAATAGAATAGTCGGCCAATTAATTAAGTTAATCAGAGATCTTTAAGTCGTCGTGACCAACCTTTTTTCCTACGAATTATGTTTTCTTCTATTTCTTCTTTTTTTGACAAGAGTCGTGTTTGACGCAGCAAAACTCCGTTTGACTCAAATTACTCACTTGAGTCAACGACAGTAATTCGGTTCGATAAGATTCTCTTCTCGTGCTACCACCCCACCACCATCGTCAGACCGTCGCTGACAGTGCCGTTCACTTGCTGTTGCTGAGTCGTTCAGCTGATCGACGGATGACGGGTGAAAGTGTTCCGAATAGCCAGCGAGTTGTAGAAACGCGGAGTTGACTCACGCCCAACACAATGCGCCGGGCCCGAGGAGAGATTTTTTTTGACCATATCGAAAGTTCCTACTTAATGTAAATTTAGGTAGCAGTACAAGAATACACGGGGTGCAACATACACAATAGAGATAGAGAGATAAATTACTCGAAACTAAGCAAGTATCTTCTTTTTTTATTCGTTTTTTTTTCTCTTATAGTGTAGCAACAACAAAAGCTAATTGCATTATAATTTCTTTCTGTATTTATAACAATATTTTTTTTTATAAATTATAATTTAAAAATATTTAAAAATAACTATTGTATTTATATATAATTAATGCAACAAAAGGTTTTTTCAAGTCTAATAAAAAATTCTAAATAATAGAGGAAATAATTTATTTTTACTTTTGTAATAAATTTAATGTTTTTTCTTTCTTTCTGAATATTATATATATTTATTTACTATCTAGAAGTTTAATAAAACTATAATTTTAATATTAAATTTTAATATTAAGTAATTAAGCCTGAAACTAACATATATATATATATATTTGTCAAAAGTTTCATATTGACCTAATAATTATTCAATTTTCTTTTTTTGTTGTAATATTTTGACAATACTTGTAATTTTTCTTACAGCCTCATATCCTGAAATGTGTGATGATGCTGATAGAGGACAGATTGAAGTTTTGACAGTTAGGGCTCTAGGATAAATATCTGAGACTTCCTAGTGCCACATAAGCATATATATCAAAATATATAACAATTCCAGAATGTTTCACTGCTAATATCTGTGAAGGAGAAACTTTCCAACAACTTCATCCTTAGTATGATTGTTGAGAACTTTTTCTCACGCTACAAAGATACTTATGTAATGATTTCTGTGTAGCCTGTATTTAAAGAAGTGCTATACATTTTATAATAGCAGAGGCAGAAGCCATATCAGGCTACATATACTCAAGGGCGGTGAATCTAATATGGACATTTTGCAATTGGCTCTGGTGGTAGTATTTACTTTCATCTGTGGTGTAATATGTACCCTGGCATTGCAGTTTTACTTATTCAAGAGATACCTGGAATCAGGGCCTCAGGTTGCTTCACCACAGAGGCAGCTACAGCATGGCAAGGCACAGTTACCTAAAGAGCTCGTGGAGCAGTTGCAAGAGGAACGTACAAACTGCAATAACAGTATATCCCGCCAAGCTATGTCACAAGGCAATGAAAACTTAGCGATAAATCTTACGCTGCAGTTCCTCTTCAACGAACTACGAAATGCCGAACGAGTGCGATTGTGGCTTTATAGGAAGTTGAACAATGAATTCAAGGAATTATTGACACAATCGACGACCGCCAAGCTGTTGGACAGTGTAAAAGTAAGATTTTCTATTTGGAACATTGAAATTCATGTTTAAAAATATGTGTTTATAATCTTTTGCGCGCGCGCGCGCACCTATTTCTTGCAGTTGAGAGACTTGGATCTCGGCACGCAATTCCCGACGATAAAAGGCTTGGAAGTCGCCGATTCAAAAATCGATGCTGACACGGGATTACTAGAGTCTTTAGACTTGGCCTTAGATCTACATTACTCAGGAAACTTTCAATTGTCTATAGATGTTAAAATGTTGCTCGGTAAAACAGCCTATATGGCGTTGCAAGGTACATTAGCACACAATTGTTTTTTTGTATAAGAAGAATAGGAAATTTGTATTATAACATGTATTCATTATCAAATTTCATAGTGAAACGTGTGAGTGGTAAAGCCAGGCTACAATTTACTCGCGTACCATACACACACTGGTCGTTGAGCTTCTATTCAGATCCGATCTTAGAACTAGAAGTACAGTCTCAGTTCCAAGGTCGTCAGTTACAGCCGCAGATTATATCAATTATCATCAGTCAGATTAGAAAAGCAGTGAAACGGAAGCATACTTTACCTCGTTACAAAATGCGTTACAAACCGTTCTTCCGAAGATTAAATGATGAGGCAGTGGATCTTTCAGAAGTAAGATTGCTATATGAGGGAGCGTTTTATTTTTAAGAATAATTAGTTTTTTAACTGATAAACATACTATATACGCTTATATAATCGGGATATTTTTTATATAGGTCGCCAGTACACAATTAACCCCAGGCTACTTGGAAGTAGAACTTCTGGAGATCAGTAGACTCAATCTCGCGCCTATAGCTCTCAGCAGCGAAGACAGCATGTCGCAAGTAGAAATATACTGCACTATGAGCGTGGATTCCACGCCGTGGGTGTACTTGACGCAGTACAGCGGTGTTCCGTACATGGTGCTAGACTTGATCATCAGCAAGACAGGCTCTCAGCAACTGGGCGTGGTATTCAAGCAGGAAGTTGTGTCGGAGATCGGCCAGATGTGCGTGCTGGTGGAGACCATTGTATCCGGCAGCCCGGCGGCGATCGCCGAGATGAAGAAAGGCGATATTCTGGTAGCGGTGGATGGCAAGAAAGTATCAAGCATGAATCAGGTAGCAAAACTCGTCAAGTCGGCCGTACAGCGGCGTTTTATCATCAGAGTGGAGAGACGATACTCAAAGGCGGACTCGAGCGAGAAAGGACAAAAAACGGACAACGAGAAGACGTCCTTCGTTGAGAGGAAAGCGTCGAAAAGTGACTCTGTAGGCAAAGTAGAAAGTCCGACCGCAGATGATGCCGGGAAGATAAAATTTGAGACGCAAATCAAATTCTCTGATTTACGAGACACCGATATTGACCCTGCGGATACTCGGCCGGACACTGGAAAACTGTTCAAAAGAAGAAAAAGCAGCGTTCATATTGAAGACATCGCTTATACGCCCGACACCACGCCGTCTCGACGTATTTCGACGATCTCCACATCGTCCGCATCGTCCAGCAATGTTCAGTTTTATCTTCCGGATGACAACGTGATCAACATCACCGATCTCTATTACAACACGAAAGAGAAGCCGTATGCCTCTCTAATTACCTTCAAGGAAACCAAAAGTTTTCGGGTCGACTCTGAGTTGCAATACTTAAACATTGGTGTGTGGAGCCGTGTCAAGGGAAGCGAGATGTCCCCGAAATTGTTAGGCTACATAAACGCGCCTGTGAAATTGATCCTGGCGCAATGTTGCACTTCCACGACCGGGCATTATTTAAAATGTCATGCTTTATTACCGCCAGAAAGTGGTGGGTGGTTTTACATCTTGTTTTAATATATAAATACAATGATAGTTTTTCTGAAGCCTTCTTATCGTGAAATTTAGTTATAAAGAAAAATTCTTTAATTTTTTTTGCGTCTATTGAATTATTTATTTCTTGATAAAGAATTACTAAGAGAGAGACAATTATTTCTCTTAAAGCTGCTTTAGCGACGTCCTACGTAAGACTGCAGGGCTATTCAGGATTTGATCCGACACTCTGTTACGGTGACATCCTGCTGTCGTACGTGTGGGAATCCTGTCAGCCAAGCAATCACACAATCACTGATTCCGGAAAGAAGGAGAACGTGGAAACTGCCAAAATTCAGCCGATTCTAAGTGAAGAGGTCACCGATAGAAAGTTGCACGATTTTATCAGGACGCACTTCCACAGAGCGACGCACTGCGATTTTTGTACGAAAAAGGTAAAGCGTTAATCGTCTTTTCACGAAGCAAGCAAAATAGTTTTTCATAAAGATTTTATAATCTTCTATTAATTATAAAAATTTTTATAAAAATTGTTTTTGTTAAGAAAAAGTTTTTTTTTAATACCAGATTGTTTTCCTTCTTATTCTACTTAAGATTACTTACTCGAATTGTACGTTGCTTTTCATGTAGATTTGGCTAAAGGACGCAGTGCAGTGTCGGGATTGTGGTATGGTGTGCCACAAGAAGTGCGAGGTACGCTGTCAGGCGTCAGGCACTTGCGGCGCGGAGAGTCTAGCAACTCTGGCTCTGGAAGCTGACGAGATCGAGTCGAACACTATCGTTGGAGATATCTCCAGCCCGGAGATCTCTCTGACTGGATGCGAAGATAACGTACAGGTACTCAAGACGTAAAATCCTAGGGAAACAAACTGTTTTCTTATCGCGAGTGTAATCATTTCTCGTTGCGACGTACGGTGTTCGCATACGAAACAGCAAAGACCAAGGAAGAACATTTATATAAAATGTTTATACAAAATACTCTTTTTTTTTTTAAGGAGTAGTTTTTTTTATTAGTATCGTATATTTATATACTTAAGTTTTTATAGTTCATTTTAAACATCTTTTTTTAATATTGACTTTATTAGGAAAGAACGATATAAAACTTTTCACTTTCTAGTCATGAATCCTGTGATAAAAACATTCAATCATTGTTATTTTGTACATGTATATGATTAATTTATTCTGCTATATTTCTTTACAGTTTATACATTTAAGTAAATATGCCATACGTATATCGCTTCATATATACGTAACGTAATCTCAACTATATTTTTACAAGTATTCAATGGTAGACTTATTATTTAAAACAAATTATGTTATTTGTACTATATAAGTCAAAATGCTGTTAGTTTACATAATGTCCACATTTTTATACACGATATGTATAAATAAGTGGTGTAATATATTTACAGATATTTTTTCATAGTAAGAGAAAACCGCTATATTATAAAATAAACCTAATTTCGTATACACACACACACACACACACACATATCTATCCGATTATATTCTATTTTTTTATATTCTATTTATTTGTTGTCTCTTTTATTTGTCGAATTATATTTAAATAATCATTTATCGAATATAATTTTGTCCCCAATAACACATTATTTTGGATAGTGATTATATGTGCAAAAAGACTAAAAAGTAATTTTATCATTACGACATATCGATATAAAATGCAGAAGCGCTTGGCATGTCATGGTGGTTGAGGGATTGTACCAATTTCAAGAAACTCGTATTTATCTTGGTATTTTGTACATAGGAAGTAGAAATTGTTAAGCGTGACACACATCTTGTTGTTGGCAATAAAACAAATTGAACATACGCACTTCGGGGAGGTGAAGGTTCTTTGTAAGCTTTGCACCTTGACCTTGTCTTCATTCTTGTTAGATATGCCGAATGAAAAATATGACACATAGACGTGCAAATGGATAAGATTAAATTTCCTTTTTTCGTACGACATCGATGTTACTATTATCATATAAAGTATAGAATTCGCGTATGTGCTGTATCATAGAATAGTCTACATGCATAAGATGATCGCAGACTGTTAGAGTCTTCATGCATGTTCGGATTCTATGCTTTATATCTGTAAAATACACACTTTACTGTACATATTAAAATAGCGCGATTATTATATGGATAATGTGTTAATGAAAAAGAAAGAATATTAATCCATTTGAAATCCGTTGGTCGATTAATCAGGGCGCAAGTATGATGGCCATGAAGGCTAGTATAGCTAACACTCTGTTGGGCCTGAAGAAAGCTGGAAGTACCAGTTGCTTGGCCCCACCGGCTACCGGTATCGGCCTGGCATCTCGAAGTCTCCCCCCAAGTCCCTGTGCATCCCGCAAGGTAGAATAATAACACGCATTTGTTCGTTCGGAGCGGAGAAGGGAGGAATAAAAAAAAAAACACTGCTTCGACTGCGCACCGCATGGAAATTGTTGTTGATAGATTAATACATATGCGATATTGTTTGTGTTACGGTCATCACAATTCTTTCTTGTTAATTAAGATGTACCAGACCTTCTCCGCTTCATTTTTGTGTTCATCACATCTTTTTAAAACAGAACGAAAGGAAAGGATATGCTCTTTGGAAGATATTCGATATCTTGCAGTTCCCATGCTTGAACTGTTTTATTGCTTCAATCATTCCTTCATCAATCATCATGCCTTACATTCGTCATCGAAGGTACTCGTTAATTCACACTTAAGAATGTAAAACAGAGCGATTAGCGAATGCGACACGATAAAATTTGAGGCAATTTCGGTTAGTTCTTTTCTTTAAAATTATCTACTAGTGAATTATAAGAGAGAGAGAAAGAGAGAGAGTTTTTCTATCATTTAAAAATTGTTATACGTATCTCTGTTTATTTGTTTCCCCAAATTGCTACAAGTTCTATCACACTGACAACAATTTTCATGGACACAATGAGCGCTGATCACGGCACTGATTGCATTGCAATTGCACTTTAACGCTGGAGCCAAGCTTGCGCACGGTCATCATTATAGATATAGGAAGATCATTGCGACTCACACATCATAATCGGTTTCGAGCGGTTGATCATGTTACACTTTTCGAATCGGCGTAACATCGATCGCGAGGATGCCGCTCACAAAAAACGCGTTGCATTAACCAATTTGATCGAATTGTTGAAACGTTTAGAGTTCATTGGCCGGAGGTCTGGGAATAAATCCTGACCTCTTGGAGGGTGCTGAGCCAAGTGTTGCAGCTCCATTATTGGCCGGCGATTTGGATGACGGTCTTATGTCAAGGGCCAGAGACACCGGCAAGTTCTTGTACAAGAACTTGGAACCGCAGGAGCGCGTTGAAAAAATCAACTCTATGGTACGCGAAAAAAAGTTCTTAATTTTGAACAGTCCGTACTTAATAATTTGTAAAGTTTATTTAAACAAAACACACTGTATTTTAATAACAAATTAATATCCGAAATGATTGGTGTGCATTTCTCGCAGATGAGCAAATTGAAGAACGCATTGGACGCCGAAACTACCTCAAGACTAGACCTGTCACACAACGGAGACGCGGACAGCATGAAACTGATCGCGCAGAGCGATCTGCGAGTGCAAGCGCTTAGTGTGTTGCTTTTACATTACTGTGCCGGCCTACAACACGCCCAGGAAGCGGTGGATCGACCAGAAACCAACAAGGAATCTTAATAAGTACACGTTCTTATACTTGATAAAACAATGAATAATAATGAAAAACAGCGAACGTGGAAAATGTAGCGATATTTGATAATTGGATGATTCTCTTACGCAATTTTTGTCATAACGAACACGATTATACGTAACGTTAACGTAATGTTATATCGATTTTATGATGTTGATGCCGTTTTTAATACCGATATTATTGTCAAGCTGTATATGTATATATACGTATGAGAAACATTGCACTTAGATATTTATATTATTATTATGCACACAGAAAAAAATAGGGATCAAGTATTTACCAGTATTGATGAACACTCAATTCACGCCAATATTGAAACTATATTTATAGTTACATATGTATAGTTAAAACGTAGTTATTACTTTTCTTCGTTATTATTGTACATTTTAGATCTTATATACACGGCATTATATTAATATAGACGTATAGAACGTATTGAAAAGTAACGATACATTTTCCAAAAAATTTTACGTTGAATATAAACGTTGAATATATAACGTTGAAACGCGTGTGAGAGAATAAGATGAATTTAAACGCGCCATAGCTTGTTCCAAAGCGCATTAGTCAATTGATCGAATTTTAAACCCTATTCGCACATGGTGTTGATAAGAGATAGAGATAACAAAAATATAATTATCGAGATTCATATGTTCGTTCGTGAGAATTTTTCAATCTTACAAGTGTGGAAATAGCGATAAATTTTTCTCTGAAGATTTTACGATAATATTTCATATTACAATATTTTCGATATACGTCGTTTGACTTGTAGACTCTTTAATGTGCAATCCCACACTTTCTGTATGTATAGCTTTCGCATTTTACAGGGTTGATCGTATCAAAATTTATATATCAAAAGTTTTTGTGTACATCTATATAATACGCGCAAATATAAACATTCACAATTTCGCGTACGTAAGTTCTTCTAGCAATTTTTGTCGAATTGCGCGCGTGTTTCCCGATCCACACACATGTACGTAACCGAATAATAATAATACTCCGCAAAATTGTCACGATTAAACATCATTCATCAAGAGAGAACACCAAACCTCGTTGAAACTAGTAATTAGTAGATTAGTTTAAGTATTGCAAAGTGTATTCAATACATATATACATATAGAAGTTACGTGTGTATACTCAAAACAGAGGATGTTTTGTTTGCGAAAAGATGTGCGTTATCTATATTATACAGCTTTTCACTAAAAACAACAAAAAACACAGTGCAATTTTCCAAATACTTAATCGGTATATTTTACGTCTAATAATAATTTTATGCGCGCGCGATATATATTATAGATTCGCGAATGTGATATATGTCGAAGATATATACCAAGAAAAAGAGAGAGAGAGAGAGTGTGCGAGAGAACAAGAGAGTTGCCATGACTTGACATTTCACAGTGTCTTATTTAAAAATCACACGATGGTGCCAAATGACGTAAACCGTAATTCAGAACATATCCATGAAACTTTCTGGAACAAAACTCTACCTTCTTACATACACAATACAAATATTAAATTACGTTCGCACAGTGTAAAAAGTAAAAACTGAAAAGTAAATGTGATATGTGTTTAGCATATTTGAGAAGAGATTGGAAAACGAAAAGTTGACGTTTTTTTAGCGTTGTGTGGCCGTCCGATTCCGATCTCTTATATTTTACGTAAAGTGTATATGTATCTAAGTCTATTGCCGACAATCGGATAGCCACGTGTAACGCTAAACGCACGGGGAAATTTCAGATTTGATTGACTGTTACAAATATAATCAAATAATTTATCGCTTTGGCCTAAAAAAAAAAAAAATAAAAAAAATCGACGATATCGAACGACCAGCGAAGATATATTATTAAAATTTATGCGAATTTTGACTGATTTCTTAATTGTTCACTTGTGCATTTACTGTACGTACGAGATAGCTTTGTATTAGAGAAATCCATCCATAAGCATTTTTGTGTGACCGCGATTATGGAGATTGTACATCCTTCGATTGCGCAAGCTAATGTGTATTATTGTTGTTATATATATATATATATTGTATATATATATATATACATACATAAAGCAAAATATACAAAGGTGAATATAAATAATGTTTTGTTCAATCGCGCGATCATATCTCCTACACCGTTCGGAGGTTCCACATCTCGGAATGAACTACGAAATATATAATGACCGGAAGTTCAGTGTGCGCGCACACACCGAGTGTTTTGTCACACATCTAGCGAACACTTAGCAAAAACTGCGTTTTTTGTTCTCGAGAGATGATTTCGCGGAGCTTTGGCGTGTGTCGTTCACGTTTTTATTCCATTCGCGCGAGTAAAAACGCACGTGTGTTGCGAAAAACGTCTGCGAGCGTGTGTCAAAGAGATACACAAAAGTCGCAATAAAAGTCAACCGACATAGGACGGTCTACGTCGTCGCGTTCTGCTCGCGTCGGGGAAATTCCGCGATGAAAAATAGACATTTGCGAAAATCGAGGTCGCGCGAGCGCGCGCTTCATAAACGACGCGAATATGACGCGTTCTCGCGCGTCGTGCGCGCGTTCTTGAAAAACCAAGATAAATTAAAATGTTTTTGTGCGATCAAGTTTCATTCATCTCATCCGTTTCAATTCTTTTTGTTTTCTGATTAGACTATTTCTTCTATTTGAAAAAATAAGAAAGAAAGAAAAAAAGGAGAATTAAAACTTCATTTTTCAACACAAAGCTGTAAATTTTCCAGCTTAAAAAAAAAAAAAAAAAAAATACGCGTAAAAAGGAACTGCAATAACATCGCGCGTATAAGTGCACGCGCTCTCGTGTTTGTGAAGTCGTCTCTTCGCTCACGTGAACGATTTCTGGTAAACATGGAAATCTACGTAGTAGGGAGAACATGCGGGCGCGCATGTCGTATAAAGAACGGACGGACGGACGGACGGACGTCAGCGTCACGGCGGTTCCGCAGGGCCAACGTTCGCTGGTTGTTGGCGAGGGTGCGAGCCAAGGTGTCCTCCCGACGCGACTGAGGAAAGAAAGAGGACGCGGAGTGGCGGAAGTTCGTCAGCAAAACGCAGAAACTGCGAAGAAGTGTTTTTTATATATACTGAGAAAATAAAGAGGGAAAGGAACGCTTTATTTGAGCGCGCAAGATATTCGTGGATACTAAACATCTGACACACACACACACACACACAAAAGTAAACGGCAAAGAGGTATAAAACACGCTAGAAAATAAAAAACGAGAGACAGAAAGACATTAGCAATTTTTGATTAATATTTTCTTAGCTGTAGAAAGCAAAAAAATTTTTTTTTTAATGCATAACATTCATTTTTCTTGTTGTTAATTACGTCGCAAATCACATTCACGTTTTGCGAAACTTTTTAAAAACTTCTCAACATTTTAAAACTTTTCAAATTTCTCTCAGTTGATTATATATCGAGAGACTACGATCTTTCGCACTCGTCCCTCCGATCCCATCCCTGCTCTCGATCTTTACCATTGCGTGTTGTACGAGGAAACGAAAACGACGAAAGAGAAGTCATGGGGGATTTCGGTACGTGACTGTCTATTTTCGTCGGCACGCGCAGATGCACGCGCAGTATCTTCTGGCCACTGGCCAAGTCTACCGCGGAATCATATAAACATTTTATCACTGTTGAGAGCGCCGAGTTTCGCGATGAATGGAGAGCAAAGTCCTCCAATTCCTCAGAAAAAGAAAGGTGCTTCTGTGGAAGTTGCGCATATATTGGCAAGATTTGTTTTGTGGAAATATTTTTATCTTTCTGATTTTTTCTTAAATTGTAATTTCAAAGGAATGCAGAACTCTTAAAAACTTTTGTTACAGTTAAGAAACATCGGTAGCAAACATATGAGTATGAATCTTATAAGTAACTGTACTTCTCACAATAAAAACGCAACGACAAGAAAACACAGAGATTTGCAAAAGATACTTTAAATACAGTCGATTTCTCGCGATCTTGGACCGAGATTTAAGTGCGTTCCCCCGATTTGTTTTATTCCGTGTGAGACGCGGCCTCACATTTGGCAATTTCGCAACTTCTTCCAGACATTTTCTGCGCAGCTCGAAACAGCAAAATATAATGACGGCACGTCTGTTACGATCTTCCAAATATTGTTGCAAACTTGTAAGTTCCTAGTACACTAAATAACACGTGATAAAAGCAATACATCCGTTTATTTATGAATGCGTTTTGATATTTCTGCGAAAACAATTTTGCGAGTTTTGCAAAATAGATAATGATTTGTTATAGAAAGTAGCGCGTGGAAAATAAACGCGCACGCGAAGGTGAAAAACTTTGCTACAATTAATTTATGTAAAAATATTTTTTAATTACACGCCAAAAAGTTTGCTACAAAAAAAAAAATATCAAGTTTCTGAGTATTTATATCCTACTTCTTCGTTACGACAATTAATATTAATTAAAAAAAAAAAAAACGTCGATAAAATGTGCTACAATATGTTCCGGAAAGCAGAGATAATGAAATTCGCGAAATGACGCAGTGGGCAGTTTGCCGGTGCAACGCAATTTACCAGTATTATCGACCTTCATTTTTTGCATATGTCAGTTTTGAGAAAACGATTTTCGAGACGCGCGAAACCAGATGCATCTGTGGCATTAAATGCTGACTCACGGTCAACATTCCGATCTATTTTCTTTTCGGACGTCTTTTCTTATACATTTTATACAGTATAAGTAACGTGTCACTTATTAAGTCTCTCGATAATAATTATAAAATAATCTGCGCCCCATTTGGATTTTTATAATAATAATCAAACTCAATGCAATTCGTTGACTGATTTAAATATAAATATTAAATATAAATTTAAATATATAAACAAACAAAGATAACAAAGATAATAAAAGTTAGTATTATATAGACTCTGCAAAGTTGAAATTAAACAATAAACGATAAGTTTTTTCCGATGCCGAAACAAAGACGCTTGAGAGAGATCCTGCGGAATCTCATCGGAGACAATAGAGAAACCTTGACGGTACCTTAACGCGATTCGCTTCGTTACACGGAAATTCCGAATTTGACAGCTCGCTCGCACGTCGCGTGCGCCTGCTCTCGCGTTTGTTTTCAAACAAAGAGAGGGAGATACACACAAAGTAGTCAGCTGATCGAGACGCTTTCCCGGCGGTGGGAGGAAGTGGCGAGGGCTTAAATAGCACCGCGTGAACTCGTGCGGATCTAGTGTCGGCTAGGTTGAGTCAAGTCGTTTCGTACTCACGAACGTCTCTCATTCATCGTGCCGGATCTCAGACTTGGGTCGAATTACCGACGAGGACCTGCGAAGTCCTGCAAGTCCTGCAAGTCGTGCAAACAGGTGGATTTACGTCCCCGATAAGTTCGCTCGCTTTGGTAATCGCGTGGATTCAACCTCACGAGAGAAATCGCACAAGTGCGACGAAATACAACGTGTCTCACTAAATGTTGACAATTTTGTAAATAAATCACCACATACTTTTTGCACATTTTCGATCTTTCATCCCGACGAACTTTTTCAGCAACGACATTGCTGATATATACGCGGATATAAACTCCGACTCTCTCAGAGATATCTGACGGTGATTAACACAACGGCGAGCTAACGTCGAGTGTATAAACTTTCACGTAAAAAGAAAATAATGACTAGTCCAATTGGAATCTTGTAATATGCTTTCTTAGCGAAGAAAAGAGAGATTAGTAAAGGTCCGAGGAAACATTGCTAAAAAAAAAAAAAAAAAAAAAAATACCACGAGAATAAATTATTCCTCGGCAAATGTGCTAAGAGACTGTGTTGTTGATAATTTACAACACGACGAGAGCTCGGCGAATTTAATTCGCGCGATATTTTTTTGCGATAAATTTTATATTCGATCAATAAAAGGAGAAATCTCTGAGCATTATGAGGCCACCTCAAACCGAAGATGTGCAACAAGTCTCGCAGGAGCAAGGTGAGAGAAACGTCGCGATGGCAGTCTGCGTGCAATTAGCTGGACGAGCGATCATCAGAGTGGTTTCGCGATGCGAGGAAGCCCAAGATAACTGCAATCTAGGTGAGTCCAGTTTGAAGAACGTAAAAGGACGTACGAGAGATGTTCTACAATTGCAAGACGTGTCTCTTTTAAGTTTGATCGTATATAAAAATATATAAAATACAAATTTTTGTAAGAACAAAAAATAAGTAAAACTAGATGAATAATTATCGGAGATTTGCGCCAAAATGACAAATGTAAATCGCAACAACGCATTTTAGGATATTCTGTTTTGCTAATCTATCTCTTTCATTTGATATCTCTTTTATTTCTTATCTCTTTCATCTGATATCGATGACTAAGTTTACCTTACCGCGGTTGATGAACGGCTTTCTTACTTCATTGTTGTGCAAATTCACATTTTTCTATATGTGTGCATATTGATATTATTTATTCTGTCTCTTTTCCATACATGAATATAATATATAATTTTCAAAATATAAAAAAATCTCGAAAAAAGCTATTGGATATTTCCGAAGAAAGTGCGAACCGCATCGTTAAAAAAAAAAAAACGCTTGCACGCCATAGAAAATGTTTATCTACATTCTGTCCCGTAAATTGCAACATTTAACGATGTTTAATCTGAATGAATCTAAAGAGAGAGGCAAGCCACATAATTAACGTAATTGGTGGTAACACGAAATTTCTAACGATGGGCGCGTCGAGCAAGAAAAGATAAACAAACGGTTGGCGTTTCTCGAGCGTCAGTTTGGATAAAAGTGAAATGCTCGCTCCGCGCAACTCCGGCATAGATAATTGACTGGATAAACATCGCATTACACAACGCGTTCGTATCCGGTCTTTGTCTCTTTTTCTCTTGCGTCGCGCGAGCATCAAAAGTAACCACAGAGATCGATCTCCGCGTGTGTTATCTTCGAGACACCCGGTGCACAGATACACACGCAAAGGTCGGTCTCGGAATAGTAAAGCGAAGCCTTGGCAATGCCGATCTAAGCGTTCCGAATACCGTCAGGAGCGAGTTGAACTGTTCCTCCTTACGAACCCTTTTTTTTTTTTTTATCGATCTGGCATATCACAGAAGAAAACCGATGCGCGCTTGCGGCACAAATAAAACGATAAAAATGTCCTGTGTAACGCTAAGCGATCGATCTCTTCGATCGTTTCTTTCATCTCCTCGTTTTCAGTTCCAATTTTGATTCCGGTCCAAGTTCGAGAGTCACGGTTTGTGCTATCGGTCTATATAGATGTTGTTATAGTAATTAAAAGTAATTAATTATAAAAAATTCTAATATTTTTATTCAAATGTCTCTTTGTCAAAAAAACAACACGATAATGTCGATACAATGTGGCCAGTTGTTTGTTATAAACGTGTCGGCTACCAAGGACACGCGCGCGCGACGCAAAGATTTCGTATAAATAAAAAAAAAAAAAAACAAAAAACAAAAGACAAACGCGCAGGATCTTTCCCAGGAACGCGAAACACACAAGCGCGTCTACAATGCGGGAAGTTTCCGTATAGGGTCGCGCAAACCGTAAATGGCAGCTTGCTGTCGGGCCTTCTTTAGCGTTTCGCGTAAAAAAAAACCGTTCGCACGCATCGCTAACTAGCGCGCCCGCGGTGATGTTCGCAGGAGCAACGGTGAAAAGTAACTTTCATTAGTAATTGCACAATCCCCCGCGCGCTTGAGCACTTTCTCACCCTTGCTTAAGTTCTTTTTATCCAAATTATATAAGATTATCTCAATGTTAAATTCGAAAACCTCGAGTCGCATTTCGAAAAGAATCGTCTTGAAATAAAAACTCAATGTAAAGAAATATAAGACATTGTTTTTAACAAAAATATAAGACGTTGTGTGTTAGCGGATATATAAGTAAATTTATTGATAAAAGTTTGTCTTTTTTTTAGAGAAAGTTTACTTTGCGCGCGCTCTTATCTTGAAGATTCAGATTTTGATAAAAAAAAAGAAAAAATAGATATAATCGCACACAGTTCCAGCTGTATCTCTTAATAAAGATACAATAACATTGCTCACGATCATAAATGATTCAGAACATGACTCATTTATTTAAAATAATACTGAATTTTATCATAGTAAAAATTCAGATTTGCAAAATATTGGCTCTAATTAAAAACTTTCTCTAAAAAAAAATTAATATACACTCTTCTACGACGTGCATTAAAAAAAAAACAAAATAACATTTGTTTAAAATTAATTAAAAAAAAAAAAAGAAAAAACTATCACCAAGAATCGTAAACCGCAATGTTGGAAATTTTAATTGTTTCAAATCACAGCGCAAAAGGTAATATCGTGCAACCCGACGCGATTATAGCGCAATCATTGACTGCCGCGGAAAGTTGGCGCGTTTTCTCAATTTCCACGCGTTTCCCACGACTTCCTGATTTCTCGAGAACGAGGCGCGAGAATCGCGGCCAGGTGATGAGATTTATTTTGAAGAGAGGAGACGCACTGAAATAAATGTGTCATAAGCGCAAGTTGCCTCGGTGATTCAGTACAGCTGCGACCAAGATGGCGAACGCCGTGACGAGAGTGATTCTGCGTTGCGAGGAGGCACAGGAGAACGAGAACCTCGGTAATAATCGCAGAATTCTAAGACAGCGATCGTTCGTCCGCACATCCGCGGGTGTTATTTAACGCAAGAACGTTTAATTAACTCGCGACGAGAGAGAGAGAGAGAGAGAGACATTTTTTATATACCTATCACAAATGTGCAAAGAGTTTTTTTCCACGTGTTTTCGCAACTCGCTTCGCATTGGTGCGCGTTCCCGCAGCGGGAATTACGAAGAAGATGCGTTATCTAATTTGAAGAAATTCGGCTGTTCAATAATACAAAACTATTTACGTGAACGTGAATGTAAAAATTGTGAACACGTTACTTCGTCTTTTTCGCATCTGATTATACCTCTTGTGGTTTCAACATTCAGCTCAGAATAACGTTTTCCGTTTGCGCGCTCGCGCGCACGTTTCGATACATTAATATAAAAATCAAATTGCGTGATGTAGTAACAAGTTGTGTAATAAATTAAATTGCATAATGAGTGGTGTTACACACATAATGAACGGAAACAATGAGTAAATTAATCGACTTATAAGAATCTTCGGATTTCTTTTTGGCTTTGTACATAAATAAAGAGATTGTCAGCAAGTGTAACATAATTATTGAGACCTTACCTAATTCTGTTATTCATTATCTTGCCGGAACTGTGCGCTCCACCGTTACAATATAAACGATCGCGATGATCGATAAATGTGCATATAACGCGGGATACAGGCACACGTTTTGTTCCGTAACGTTCTCGATTCCCGTCGCTCGAGTCCCGGCGTCTTGTGGTCTTCCGCGCTGAAAACCGCGCTGGAGAAAGCGTGAAACACTATACGGCGATGACGAGCGCACTTTCAGCAGTTATGATGCGCATAGATCTACGTTCTCCCAGAGTTTTTTGTTTTTTTTCACATGACGAAGTACATTTTTTTAAATTCAAGAGTTCGCGTGCTCGGAGAAAAACATAATAGTGCGCAGTGTGATAATTAATATTAAACACATATTTTTAATTAAATGTCGTTTTAATTATAAAAAGTACGATATATGATGTAGTTTTCTATCGTTTCTTTCGAGAAAGTGAATAAATGTGTTCTGCTTTGCGATGTTTTCAGATCTGTCGGAATGCCAGCTCATGCAGATTCCAGACGCGGTCTATCATTTAATGCGACATACGGAGTTGAAAAGATGCGATCTCTCCGGGAATGTGATCACGAAGATCCCGCCGAAATTTGCCGTGAAATTCTCGTTAATCACCGGTAAGCGATATAAGAAACACACGCGCAGATTCCAATTCTTTAATTCACCTCTTTCAATTCTCTCAAACTGAAAGCTTCGAGAAAAGATTGAGATTTTATTTATTTTTATTTTTTTTTCGTATGTTCGCAGAGCTGAATCTAAGCCACAATCAAATGAGCAAGCTACCTGAGGAACTGGCCGAGTTGCAAGCTCTGGAGAGACTCGACATCTCGCACAACACCTTCATCGCTCTGCCACTTGTCGCCTGTCAGATACCGCAGCTCAAACGGCTCCTCGCCAACAACAATTTTATCATTGGTCAGTGTCTTTTGGCAATTCTAGAACACACATTTTGTATAGAATGCTGTTATTTGAGAAATGCGCAATCTACATTCGCGTCGCACGCGTTTTTTTTGTTCCTGCAGACGTCAACGTCGAGAAACTCAGACAAGCACCCGCCTTGGAATTCGTCGATCTCCAATCGAATCCGTTGCCGAGCAGAGTGCACGAGCTTCTGAGCAATTTGACAGGCATTAGGATCGAGCTCAGTCCTCGGCAGGTCGAAGACTGGGAGAACTTGTACGTTTGAACCGTCCCCGCCTGGGGCGAGAGCCCATCTCGCGGAAGACTCGACGTGTCTTCTCGACGAAGATTGCTCAAGACTTCATCAATTAGAAGTAGACTCGACGCGTTTTGTACAGTGATAACGCAGACTGTGTGATAACGAGTAACACGCGAATTGTCACGGGATCGGTCCGGGATCTTTTTTTTTTTTATTTTTTTTTTCTCTTGTAAAAATGTCACTCTAACGAATCGTATTTGAATACTGCGGATCAGCTGTCGATTTCGACGGGATCGATCCCTCGTTTCGTTTTCTTAGGTTTTCTAACACAAGACGAGCCATGAGCAATGTAATTGTGATATTTAAATACTTAATCCAAGGATATAATTAATCATACAGTTAACAATTTTTAGATCAAAGCATTTGGATCCTCGAGTCGTTGAGTTAAATCGTTCTTAAACAATTAATTCTTTTTCTCAAGAATACTTGTAAAGTATTATCGACTCAAAACGTTTATTTCACATCTAAAATATGATCCGACTCTGTTTCAGAACTCAAAAGACAAAAAAACTTCACGCGAACAATGCTTTTTGAAAATTATTTTCTAAAATTGTTGAGGCTGCGAAATGTATGTATTATGTCGTTCGTCAAAACAAGTGCAAGTTACATTTAAAGAATTTTTGTAATATAATTCATGTGTCCGGTAATGCTACGGACGGTTTATGGACTGCCGATTTACGTATACGTACATCGTATAGTAGTGCAATTTTAACACTTAAAAGAGTAACAAATGACAAGTCCATTAAGTAGTTGAACAACCGTTCAAACACAGGGTGTCCCGTAAAGAATCATAAATTGCAAATGCAACGTTACAAATGTTAACGCAAAACTATACGCATTTTGCGTATGTAACGTAAAATCTAACGTTGAAATAATTATTATAATTGTAAATTTGTTTTAGCTTCTTCTGTACCTTTTTGCTCTAGTCAAATATCCTCGGGCATATACAGAAGTTTACAGAGGTTTATTTGTTGATCCTCTGAAAATTTGCGAATCGTTACATTCACACAACGAACATTAAGATAATAATTTCATTTTAAGTCGTTTTATCCTTCGATATAGTTTCCTATAATTTTATATTAGAAAGCGTTTAATTTATGGATCAATAGCGTCTGTAAATCTCTAGTTATATGCTCTTGGATTCTTAAAAATTTGAATACGAGACATTACAGTACAGCAGCACGAAAACTACGAGAGCGCGCATTTGTATGAAATCGAATTTGTATCTCTGTTCCTAGTCTAATGCATCCTAGTTACGTATCGCAAATTGTGTTCTAAGTCATTATCGTATTTTGGTGATACAACACACACGAGAGAGAGCTCGCGTTATACGAGCACAAGACAAAAAAAATTATTGACAAATTAACTCGGACATTTATAAATTTGTTTTCGATGTGCTTCGTCACACGAAGTCAAATGTATCGATATACAATATTGTACATATTCTATTACCAACATGTATTGTTCAAAATTGTGTACTGGTACAATCTATATTGTAATAATACATATCTTTGACAATAAGTGAAAGCTGTGCAACATTTTGAAGACAAATAAAAAAAAAAAAAAACCCCAGGCACTTTCAGCCGCTTATAAAATTGTTCTGTATTGCGAAAATTCATATTATTTCTCTCTTCTGACGTCACACATCAATGTGACTGAATGATTATCTAGGAGTCGTAAATAAAATAAAAAAATGTTCCTTTCTTTTACATTACACAATTAATCCAAACGTAACTTATTACGTTCGCATTTTAATCTCTGTTATGTAATCTGCATAACAATAAGATCGTAAAAAGTGTCCGAAATATAAAAATATTCGACTTACACATATATTTTGGAGATTAATTATAAATGTTTATGTAGAGATTTCACGAGAGAAGGAAAAATGTAAGCAATGACGCAACACAGAATAGATAAGATTTTATCTCACGCATGAAATATATTAAATATCAGGGGAAGGACGTAAGAAAGGTAAGTATAAGTATCTGTGGCAACATTATTAACACCGTAAGTAAAACAGCTAATATTGGTTTAGTGCCTGTATTTTCTCAATATTAATAATAATAATAATAATAATAGTAGCAATATATATATATAGGTAATAAAAATAATAATAATAAAGTATAATGAGAGAATCGCAGAATTAATTATCTACAATACTTGTTCGTATAGAAAATCACAAAATATACATAAAACAGACACAGTTGAACATCGAGGCTCCGGTATTTTATCGTTTCCATTTTTTTTTTTTTTTTTTTTTTTTTAACATAAATCACCGAGCAGTCCTTAATTTTATTTTCACAATTGACGAACCGGAAGCAACCATGACAAAGAGACGGGGAGAAATATATGTATGTATGTATGTATGTATTGTACGTGTGTGTCGGGTGAACTATCGATCATATTTATTCGTGTACTTGCGTATATCTGGCTATAGTAAAGCTATATGCCTTTTCTTCTGAGACGCGATCGAATATATATATATAATATTTATATATAATTATATATATCTATATATAATATATACATATATAATGTTCACAATGCGCGAGAAAAAGTACGGTTAAACGACTTCCGGATTTCGCGGAAATTGGGACGAAAGCGCGCGGACTTTCTCCAAGATTAAAGAATCTCAGTGTCTTCTCTTCTCTCTTCAACGCAGAAATTCTATACTATCTCAGCAACATTTGTCGATATCTCTTTGCTACTTAACAATGTCGCATAAAATAACAATGGCAACAAGTTGACGGTGTAGTTTGGGATTTAGATATCAATAATCATTGATCCGCCATTGTATGCTCGTTTAATTATCGACATTCTTTGACGATTTAATTTTTTCTGATCCGTATTGCCGACACGCAATACAGGATACTGTCGCGCAGAATACCTGGATTATAGATCTAGATTTTTCAGGGACCGACTTCTGTGTCCATGAAAAACAAAGCCTTTTCACAGTTTAATATCGATTCTGGCACTCGCACGTTGAATTAAACGCCACTCGTCTTCTTTTTTGTTCTCCGCTTTTCCTATATTATATCTCCGACAATATTTACATAAAAGTTTATTACTAACTAGATTCACATTCAGGCGACATCTTGCAACACAACACGCCGACCGACCGACTCACCGAAACGACCTACCCGTCCTCATCGATACGGATGTTACATATCGAAAAGCTCGATTCGAGAAATACTTTTTGTCTTTTTGTGATTGATTCTCTCGATCGCTTAACTAAAGGTGGGACGGTAAATCGTGCCTGCGAAACAGTCGATCTTTTAGGACGTCGAGTCAAGTTTACAAAAAACAAGGAAGAAAACGATGAAACTTCGGTGCAATGACGTTGTTACAGCTATGTATAACAGCCGCGAGTACTTTATGAGTGACGAGAAGGCGGAATTCATTACTAAGACGATTACTTTCTTCAACAGGGATCTTTAATGTTTTATTTGTGCACAGATATGCTTATAAAAAAAAGAGACACCTTTCGAGAAGCCGTGAGTGCATTACGCGAATCGTTTCTTCGATTCTTCATGAAAAGATTTCATATTTTAATCCTTAAGCAGCTTTTTTAATGAAATAACGTGTGCGTGTGTGTGTGTGTGTGTGTGTAATCGTGAAAAAATAAAAGTTCAGGAAGTTGTTCACAGAAAAAGATACATGTATATTAATATATAAAACTAGAATATTGCACTATAATTTTTCTGCGAGCCTTTTTATAAATTAATGTTAAAACAAGTTAAATGCAATTAAAATCGTAATTCAACGTTTATTTTGCTACTTTGACCTTAAATAATAAGTGTTTAACAATTTTATTTACTCGGTCCTATATTCTATGTCCCTGCTCAAGGATTAAATCTCAAATATGTATGTAATTGAGTTTATTTGTAATCGGACACAACGCTTGTGTGTACAGTGAGTCTATTCTGTAACTTTTAACGCATGCGTTATAGACATAACGACGCGTGTCCGACACGAATATCTTCGCGCAGACAAAATCACAAAATAGCTATGCGCAACGATTATGTTAACTATAACGTCGTTGTAAGTTACAGAATAAAAAGGTGCAGATGTCCTACAGATTTAACCCTCATCTGGATCCGCAAGTTTCCTACCGTGTAGAGACTTTAGAGCTGCGCGGCCCTTCATATAAAACTAGTTAAAAAAAAATCATTATTTATTTACAGAGCAAAACATAGTACAACACACAGTCTGCAAGAATAAATTGAGAACTAAGTTTAAAGATGCAGGGCTATCAATCAATGCTCTTTCGTGCATAGAACGTCTTCGCGGGAAAAAATAATACAGGCGCGCGCGGATGTGGTTCTCGCGTTTTAAACTCAAATTGCATAATCAATAGTTAACAGCCTTATTATTTAAACTTATTATGTCGAAATAAACGCGAGCAAAGACTATAGAGAGAACTGCCGCGATCATTTACATAAAACAGCACAATTAGAAATAAAAAAATTACAGTCAATTAATTTCAAATAAAATACATTCGTTATTTAGTTATTACTAATAGCTACTTAACACAAATAGCGCTAAAGTAATTAACTAAATTAAAAGAACGTGGCATCCTAAATCCGGATAAGGGAAAAACTTTCCTTAGGAAATCTATATGATAAGCCCAAAAAAATGAGTTCAAATCTACCGCTATTACATTTAAATTAATTGGTCTCACAAAGCGGATCATTTTGTTCGCATCGTTTCTATTTTGATCGATTGACCGATCGATCAAAGAGAATTCTTTCAGAGAGGGAAGTGTGTTGGAGATAATTTACGCGATATTGGCACGCGATAATTCAGTACTGCAAATTCTCCGAGTTCCACAAGTCGTGAAACATGGATCGTAGTTGGGCAAATTCTCAGATTGACGAACAGTTTCTTTAATTCGCGAACAAGAAACTTTTTATCAATCCAATCCATCGATCTTTTCGCAATCTTAAAAAAAAAATCCCTGTAGAATAATTATACGCTTTATATACTTATATATATACGTGTGTATATTTGTTAAAATTCACAACCTCTACTGTACGACCCAATTCCAAAATCCATGAATCCTCAACTGCAAATTTACGCTTTGTAGCATTGATTAGGCCTACACTTGTATCTCATCACCAAACTGACCAACACATAACCCTCAAGTCTTTAAATGACGCTAAACGCGTTGCGCACCTTCAATAATCTCTTTCGAATTGTTGTTTACGTCGCAGTTCTCTTTAACAACCTAGGAGAAGCTAAGTGTTGTACAAGTGACACTCTATGTACGAGGTTGGAACGAAACCTTCTATTGGTTGGGATATGCGTCGCACTCTAGTCCAACCGTCTCCCTGATCCAACTCAATCATATATAGCTCCTCGCCGTCGTACATGGGAATAGAACCTTCGCTAGTTGCTATAAATAATAACAATTAAAATAGCCACTATATTAATGACATTAATTATGATAACAAAAATAAAGTAACCATTCTCGTTTTTTTCTGATTTCCTTTCTCTATAAAACATTCAGAAGAAGTATGTGTCATAAATGTGAAGAAACCTACCGTCGAAAGGATATAGTGCCCGACATGTTCCCAAAGGTGGCTGAGCGTCGACCTCGTCGTGATAATATTCCTCGCAACCGCTGCCGGGTAGTGATGTTCTCGATTCGCCGAGGCCAGATTCCGGGCTGTTCGTGGAACTGTGCATCAGTACCATAAAGCGAAAACCGTGGCTATTTGTCTAGTGGTGTCAACTGTCTAATCTACTCAACATTGCGAACTAAACATTTTTACGAAAAGAACAACGCGACTACATCGCAAATAACACCTCGACTGTTATCTTTGTTATTCATATTTGTTTTGATAAGATAAAAAAAAACGGATTGAATATGACAGCTGTAGATGTGATCTTTCTCTCATCACAAAGATTACGAAGGATTATAAAACAAGAGGGAAAAAGGAGGGAAGAAGGGAGAAGGAGAGAGTTTTATTATAAGACAGATATAAGTATTATAGATGGGAGAGATATAAATATTTAGAAAGTGTATGTAATTTGTGAGTTACCTCATCATAGTGTGTTACCAACATATAACTTACCCATGAGTCGGCTGCGGTGTGCCCGGTGCGCTCTTTTTGTTGTGGACAGGTTGATTCGCATTTGCGTTGCAGACGCTCGAGTCCGAAGCGGATCTCGAAAGACTTTCTTCGCCGCCCGAATGACTATCCCTTCGTGAGCTCAACGGTCTCGTTGCCGAGCCGTTAGTAGTAGGTTTCCGCGGTGCTTGACTTGGGCTAAAAACACCCATGTTTAAAATGGCTATGCGAATAGCGAATATTGACGTAAATCTTACCACAAGTTATCAAACAAAGCTTTGTTTACCTAGACAAAGCATTGCCAGCGCGCATTGCTTCTTCAAGATAGCCTTGGAATTTTGCCAATTCAGCTCCGAGCTTGTCCAGTTTATTGCTGGACTGGTTTAATTGTCCCTCTATACTCATCGGGTCTCCGAGAGCGGGATTCTGCTCGTACACACCCTTCATCTTCATCAGACCGTCCCTCGCTGCGGTCTCTTGCTGAATCTTCGCCTGGATCTCGTCCAGTCGCTGCTGCAGTCGCTTTTTCCTCTGATTCGGTGGCAGATCGCTGCAATCCTCCTTAGTGCCGTCACCATAGCCAGGCACGTTATTCTGCAATTTATTATAAATGAATATCGATTTCTCTCGAGTTATTTTATTGTATAACTCGACTACTTTCTAAGACCCAGAAGCTTATATATTTAACAAACATATTTCTTATTGTAAATCTCAGTAAGATATTCTATCACAGAAATGTTTTCAATTTTCGCTTTAAAATATTTTATAAAACTTTTTAAATCAAGTAAATAACAAAAAAGTTATAGCACAGAAAAAGCTTACTTAAGACATTTTTATCGATTGTAATTTGAAATTTAAAATATCAGCATCAGGGTTCAGATAAAAACAACTTAAGAACACAACATTTTGTTGCAAGAGCAACACATTAACAACTGAAAACTGTTAGTAAACGTTAGCACATATGTATATTGATATTAATGAGCAATATATTCATTATTATCATTTATTGTTCTAAATACTATGAATAAAACGTTTGAAATATAGTTTTTTTTTGTAATAAATAATAAATGGGTATAAATGTCTAACCCTTTTGGTGCTATGTAAGAAATTGGGGAGAGCAATAAAAAAATGAATAAATAAATAATTTCAAAACCCAATTTAGTTAATTTCAAATCTGATTTTCTACTAAATAACTAATTGGACGATTAGCACAATTCCGAAGCAATTCCAAGAAGCGATTACCTGTCTCATCTATTTACTATTGCATATAAAAGATAAAAAAAGACAAGCGAGTCACAAGCACTTGTAAGCGTTCAGCTAAGCACCAAAAGGGTTAATCGGAAAGTGACTTGGTGATTATATAGAGGACAGACCTTTAAAGCTATGCACACCTCGATCAACTTCTGTTTGCATGAAACAAATTTCAAAAGCATGTCATTCAGCGATAGAACGAGATAAACTTTCAGCATGAGCGAGAACTTAGGCGTAAAGAGAATTAATTTTGTTTCAAATAAAAATTTACTTAAATCTAATTACGTAATAAAAAAGATTTTTACGTTCTATACTGTATGTAGTGTTTTAAAATAGTTCATTATAATCGATTACACTCTTATACTGATTAAGATTAAAATAGTTGCTGAGTTCACGCTCTTCTAACAGGACGTTTCAATGTCACGTATAATTCTTCGCTTTAAAAAAGCAGATAAACAATTGATATTGTACACGTAATTGTGTGAATAAGCAGTCTCTACGAAGTACTTACTAAATATGATAATATCCCAATTCATAGACCATGATGATTGGAAACAAGAAGACCACAGGCAGATTGAACCATCCACCAAATTAATAGAAAGTACAGAGAAAAATAAGTTACGCATTTCGTTACGCAGGATCAAAGAATGTGTTTGCAAAACTTTTATAAATCTGAATAATATCATAGTAAACAAAAATAAAAAGAAAGATACTATTCAATACAAATCATATCGCGATTTCTGTTACAATTTGTTAAACCTACAATTTTATAAAATATAAAAATTTCTACAAATTTATGAACTAAATTTACGAACTCTATATATATACATATGAAATTTTAAGACTGATAAAAATGAACATTGTGATTACAAAATCATATTATCAGCAGTCTTACATTATCAGATATCTGGATAAAAGCTTTTTCAGCAAATAAAGTTCTACTGTGTGTTACAAAATATTTAGAAGACACAACAGAAGCAAAAAATATGTTCAAAATAATTTAAGAATGCAAAATTTATATTGGATAATAAGTATAAATAATAGTAACATAAAGTGTACCTAAAAAATTGCTTATAAATAACTAGTCGGAAGAATGCAGAATCTATTAATGTACATGCGTCAAATTTATATGCATATAAATGTAGGCCTGTCGCGGCGCGCGAGCGCGCGAAAATAAAGATGCAAATATATATTTACATAAAAATTAAAAACTGTTAAAATATATTTAGTAAAATACTACATTATACTTCCGAGAACTTTTGTACATGCTTTCAAATATCCTCTGTTTATCCTTTCCGTCTGACGATATCGCGAATGCAATAAATAAATAGATGATAGTTTTTTTCTGGAAATCGTGCAAGTTCTACGAGCTTACAAAGTCGCAAAAATAACTGTGAATTATTGAGAATATGCAATGATCTTAAGTTATGGAAGAGTATCTACCTTATTGCTACTGAAGATCCCGAAGAGACCGACCCTCTTCTTGATCTTGCCGCCCGAAACTGTTCCCTTCACCGTCAGATGATTGTGAATCGGTTGCATCACCGGCTGGGCCAACTGACTATTGCTGTCGTAGCTCTTGGCGACCGACAGATCCTCGAAAGGAATATCCCCGGGTGGCTGAAAGCCGCTCTTGTAGCGCTCGATCACTAGTTGTGTGTCTTCTTTCTCGTTAATTTCGTTCGCCGCTTTCTCAATGCCATCTAGGCACTGGGCGATTATTGGCGCCACCGCCCGCTCGATTTCCACCGACTTCATCATGTAGTTCCGCATATTCTTTATCCTTTTTTCATCCAACTCCTAACAAAACAAAATCAACAGCGAGACTGTAAATGATTAACATTGTTCTAACAAATTAGAGATAACCTAACTACAATACAATAGGTACCTGAAGATGTTGAAATACTTCCGGCATTGCTGTGTGATAATGTAATGTCTGTAAATCATTTGTTTTTTGCAGTTGATTCGCGTACTCCGTTTTAGCTTCCTCGCTCTGCTGACTTTTTATGGTCATATTCATTCTCTGTTTCTCAACCTGTTCATCGTAATAAGAAATCGATTATCACCGAGCAACGATCTCGCTAATTATTTTTAATTTGAAGATAATTTTGTAATTATAAAAATAAGTTTTATTTGAGATGTGATAACAAATTACTTTATCCGATCGAGAGTTTTTTTTTTTTTAGATGCAACATCTACAACGCAAAAACTGGCTTATCACAAAGCTGGCAGGCAGAGCTTATCACGCACCTCTGCTCTCGAGAGATTAAGATCCGCGTCCGCTCGCTGATAGTTCTCGACGGCACGTTCCGCCTCACGGAAGGCCTTCTCATAAGCTTTCCTGGCGCGTTCCAGGTTACCAATCTGACCCTGCAGGGTGGCCATGAGCCGCGCGCCCTCCTGCAGATGTTTTTTGCGGTCCTCTTTGAAGTCCTTCACCAGGATATTGAGTTCCCGCAGAACGTTCGCCTGAAGATTCTCCGCTATTACCTCCCGCTGACCGGCCTGGTCGTTGACCTCGTTTAGCTCCATCTTGAACGCTCGACAAGGACTATATCTAGAAAAAACAAATTCCGGTCTTTTTTCATTTGTTATATCTTGTTGTTACGTATCTATCTCATTATAGCGTTGTCTTAAACTTATTAACATTATCTATGTTAATATATTTGTTTGCTCTATCTGATATATTTCTCTTTTAATTATCTTCATTATAATACTGTACGGATACACTTAATTGATTTGACAACTGTTTTCATTTCTTTCTTTTTTTTAATTTAATTTACTAAATATCGCCGACGCAAATTGATTTCGCAAAACGTGCGGAACTTATAAATCTCGACCCACGTCAACTAGATATGACGCACTTGCGAGAGAACCGATCGAACATTGCCGAGAATCTCTCTTCAAGTTACTGAACTTATAAAGTACCTCGCCTACGCCGCAAAATAAAACAGACTGTTTCTGTTTTCCATCATCAGATCCGCGAAGATGCACCCGCGAAGAAAATTCGCACAAGTTGGGCGAACAAGAAAGAAAATTTTACTTTACGCGAACGGCCGAACACGTGCGACTCGTCACGGATTCTTCATCGTCGCGTTGAAAATCCCCCCGCCCCTCCTCATACTTTAATCTCGATTTTGCTTTAATTCTTGTTTTATTTTAGCATTGATCACGCTCTCGCGCGCGCTTAATTACTCGCGCAATGCGCATTCTGTGCGTCGAGTCAGAAAACCAATTATTATATTCCGCGGAACTAGGAATTTATGAAATAAAAAAAAACGTCCAGAGAGAGATTCCTAAGTGAGCGTCTAGAAGAGTTTGCGTGATATTCTCTTCCTCAATTCCCGAATCTATTCCAAAATAAAAACAAAAAACAATTGTAACAAACTCTCTAACGGCGCGCGGTGTCTGTTACATCCGTTGCATGTAAAAAAAAAAAAAATATGTGTTATTATACCGTAAATGCGGGCGAGAGGCGCGTAAGTAAATAACTAGATTCGCATATGTGCCTCTTTGAAAGCCTCAATTACCTCAAAAAAGGATATCATCTTTTTTTTTTTTTATTAGTCGCGCCACGGTATCTATTTCCTTCGATCACCGAGTGGTGTAATTTATCTTCACCGCGAGCAATTTAAATACATGTTTGTTACTCTCTGTTTTGTACACGTATATGTGGGACTCGAGCGACTTATCTAAGATCGACCGGTAACTCGAGAAGGAAGAGAAATGAGTGTGTAGCTTTATACTTACTGATAATCCTCCTCCTCCTTTTTCTTCGGCTGATAGCTCTTCACAAGACGTCTGCAACAAAGAAAGGAGAAAACGGGATTTTATTGGCGCACGCGTAAAATGTCGCTTTTCTCACGAAGGTGAAATGAAACACGTACGCGCGATTTTCTTTGAAACAAAATCTCGTCATAAAAATATCTCCCGGTAATAAATTACGTAACGTATAATACTCACGAAGAGAGACAACGCTATACTTCATTGTTCACGCCTTTATGCGATTGGAAATTTGGTTGATTATATGTGCGAAACTAAAGATAAACAGAAATATGCGTGACAATCAAACAACACGTATCACTTTCTCGTGGCTACCTACTGAAATACATTTAAAAGCAGTTAAAAACCGCGAATCGCGTCGTTCGCACACAATATCAAAGAAATATCAGATGGTGAGCGCGTGTGAGTATTTTCGGCCGCGACGCGGATTAAACGGATCTGGGCGTGCCGTTTTAATTTTTATACCGCGTCACGTCAGGTTATAAATATACTTTCGTGTTGAATTTCTCTCTCTTTCTCTTTCTCTCTCTCTCTCTCTTTCTTTCATACACACAAATCATCAACACACACGTGCCCTTGATGCAACAAAGCACCAGCGCGAAAACGATCACAAAAAAAATGAAAAACAGAAAGACAGAGGGTAAGATTCTCATTGCACTGTCTGCAATTAGTTTGGATTTGTCTTCTATTTTAAATCTTCTGACTTATGTTTTCGGTTTTCTCCGAACAAACTCAAAAGAACGCTCTCTCTTTTGTTTTAACTTTTGAATATTAAATAATTTTAACCGCGGTAAGATCAAACACACAACTTGTCTAAGATTTTTTGTTTATAAAAATAATAAATAAAAGGATCTCTGTTTAATCTCCTTGTATGTTTCGCTTTATTAAAATTGATTGAGTTTTTGATGTATTAAATAATAATAAATATGACTAGCAAGATCGTTGCGCAAGACAGATAAATGTATTGTGACGTATCTCAAGCGAAAGCGTCACAGCACACGTCTCTGTCAATAAACATCAATAGAAATACTAGAAGTACGGTTGGTATAATGGCTTTTGACACACAAGACTCGAGTAAAGCGAAACGATCATTTTGCAGCTCTTTTAATAAATAATATTATATATACATATTTTGTAATATTAAAAAATGTCATTATTCTCGAACTATTAAATTTTGCAAAACTTATTCAAATGCACACTACGATCTCCTCGGTGTCTCACAAGTGTCAGCCGTTACATAAGCAGATCGAGAAATTTTTTACTTGATCGATAGTCGGGTGTAATTTTTCGAGTATTACACCGAGTCGAGAGAGAGTAATTTCCCTGGAATTGAGTAGTACCCAAGGTATATTGATCGTGCAACTTTATGCGAAAGTGAATTGAGGGCCGTGTTGGAAATTGCAGCACACATTAAGACCAGAAACGCGCGTTCAGCAATTCGTAGGCAGAGACGGAGCGAATGAGCGCGGCGAAGCGCGCGAAATCATATTCCTCTCGTACCTGCGCGCGCTCGGCTCAATTAACCCTCAACACTTTGAGGGTGAAAATTGGTTCTGAGCGTTCTCCAAACTACGTCCCTTGTGTTACCTTCTTGTGAAACATGAACTAGAATGCTTAATTGCTATGCACGATCTAAACTTCGTGTGTGAACAATGATTTAATTAATCATTTTCAATCAAATATTTTTTTAGTTTTTTAGTTTAAATGATATTATTCTTAATTTCCCAATTCATTTCCTGTTCACGTAGTTTTTAAAGTTATGAAATTTTCATCGCGGTTCTTCTTGCTAAGCAACAACTGCGCGGACACTACTGTATAACCATATTTTTATGTCTTCTGAACAAGTTCTTCATTAATCATGCATGCAGAAACGCGTCATTTTTCGCATGACGTACAATAACGTCGAGAAACGACGTTGCCGTAACGAAGTAATTTCACAAATGTAATACAAAATGGAGTAATTAAACATTTCGAATGGACGGGACTTTTCGAGACACCCGATAGAGAATAAAAGTGCCACAGTGGATGGTATTCACGGAGAGCGGACAAGGGATCTCTTTAACACAATATTACATACTAGCTACATCTCTCGTCCCTGAACCCGCGGGGTGCGTGAGACACGCTCGTTATACAGGATGTTCCATTGAAACCGTCTCGACTGATGCCTCACCCTTTGTCAGGGTACCTCGAAAAAAAAAAAAAGAAACATTGCACGAGCACGTCGAGCCGCACGACAGGGTGTAAGGTGCAAGGTGCGCGACACACAGAGACAAGGGGAAGAGACCTTGCGCACCTGTGCTGGTGAATTCCCCTCTTAGTTTCGAAAATAGAAAAAGAATGGAAACTTTGTTTATATTTTCATTTCCAGCAAGTGTAAAAATTTTGATAAGAAATAACTTTTCAAATCGACAAACAAATTGCAAAATAAAAATAAATCGACAAAAACATAATTTTATAAAACAGGACTTTAAAATATATAAACTTTTTGCGATTTTTCCACAAAATTTCTCTAATGGCAATAAAAAGGTAATTGTAAAAAATATATATGTTTTTTTTCTCTCTCTCTCACATATAAAACTCATATTTCTCACCTTAGTTTTGCTGCGTATTCGAATTCGATCGCGCAACGATCGCGTATGAAGTGGCCATATCTTTCCAGGAACTCTATTCCCTTCTGCGTGTGTAGGGACAGATTCTCATACTGATCCTGAAAAAACACAAACGGAAGAAACAATGAAAATAAAATCACTTCAACAGTCGTTTAATTAAAACATACGCGGATATTTAAACTTACGCTATTGTCGAAACAAAACAAGATTTACATGAATTACATAATTTTATGTAACATGCACACTTACAGAGCATGACAAACGAAAACAAACAGAGGAAACAAAAAATTCATATATGTGCGTTCGAGCAAGTAAAACATCTTTCAGCAAACTTATTTCCAAAGCTTTTCCTTCTTGCGCAAACTGATGTTCATTCGCATTGCCGATTTCGTCTGACAACAAGAGAGTGAAGACTTTTCTCTGTCGGACGAACAATCCGACCGTATCTATCGCGGTCGACGACTGAGAAAAACCTCTTGGCACACATACGCGCTTCTTCTCCGCCAGTACTCCGCGGGACAATGAGGAATTTCGCAAGGTGCGCGCGCGCGCGCGCGCGTGCGGAAAGATTTCTGAACGTCGTTTAGCGGCTTAGCACGAAAAGTGAAACTGGACACGCTATAACCGTCTGATTATCGGAACAACGCGAACGACATTAGTATACGCGACTTTTGATGATCTCTATATACGATAGATATGATGTACCTACGCAGATTTGCACAGAATTGACCTTTATATTAGGTAGATAATATCTAAGCTTTCACCTTTATTATTGTATTTTTTTTTTAACCTAGAAATCGATGAGAAATAAATGTGCGACGTCCTCGAGCCAGAATCTTGAAAAAGAATTCATTTACGTATCAAAGACGGATCTTTCGACTTGAGAGAATAAGTCAAATTGTCGTCACGAGAGAGGGAGAGAGAAAAAGAGATCCAATGCGACTGACATTCGAAACGCGTTAACTTTCATTTCCAGCGAGCGGTCATTCAAGGGCCACGCGACTCATTATGCCCATATACGCGTTTGCACATGTCCTTCTTCGTCCTCTTTCGCGATGATCTCACCTTGTTAGCGTTGAAGAAAAAGGACAAGATCTCGACCGGAACACCTGAGTCGCGTGTGCGCGATTTGCGGTTCGATCAATCGAACGAACGAACAGCGCGGAACGGAAGTTGTGTAAAGATTTTCCACAGTTTGATCGTGTAAATAATTTAATAAATAAGTAAAATTGATTATGTGGTGTATGTGAATGGCACGTAATTAACTATAAATTAGCTCGTTAAAATCCGAAGAAACATATTTTTTGTTTTGTATCTTTTACGAGAAAATTGGAAAGAACGAATTAAACGATTCCACTTACACGCTCCAAGATCAAAATATCCTTTTTTTTTTTGCGCGCGAATTTTATTAGAAAACAAATTTTTTAATCCTGTAAAAAAAAACTTGCAAATCATCAAAAATTGTGTTACTTTTCTTTTTATGCTCTCAGAGCATTTGGTTTTTAATATTCACACGCACCATTCTAAAAATCAGTTCAAGTTCCGATACTCTTTACGTTGTCATTCGAATGCGTTGATTTCTAATTTACGACTTATACGACGACTTTATTTATATATTCCGTTCAAGGTTTACGGTTTTTCGCAGAATACATATTCGAGTCACACTCGGATCCTAATCGCGCGTCGAAGTCACTCGTGCGTCTCTCGGATCGGAACAACTTTCTCATTGTGATAACTGTATAACTCGGTTCGGTGGCTTAGCGAGTAATTTGCAATGAAATAACGGAGAACTGGTAGCGCAGGTGATAGTCGCGCGAAAAAAACCGTGGCTTTCAAACCTGTGTGCGTATGTGTGCCGTATAAACGGCGGCGGTGGAGCAATGGTGGACAATCACCGACAATCGGATTGTTTTCCTCGTTGATTCGCCCGGATCATTGTTATAACAGATTTATTTTTATTTTTCTTTCGCACCAGATATCACAAATGTCAAGTGACGCCGCCGCTGATTACAGAGAGCACGCGCGAGTCGAATATATCGCGCGTTTATTTACAAACTAGAAACCGTACGAATTTGTACACAGAATCGAATTTATACACACTGAAGTCTAAATATTAAATGTAATATAAATAAAATAAATCAGCATTGACCTTTGATATTGATTAATACACGTATGAAAATAGAAACATTTAGCTTTAGCAAATTTCGCAAGTTTTATATCATTACACAGAATATTTTATATTTTTATGACGTTTATCATGTTTGTTGTGAAAATCGGAATTGTCTAAATTACTTCTTATATTTTTTTTGTCAAATTTGAAAGAGAGATTTGAATATGTTAGTCTTCTTTCTCTGTGATGGTGCTTTATATTTAAAAACTTTATGCAGTGTTTAAAATATTTGTTGAAGATAATTGACCATTATTATTATTTAGTAGTCCAACTCAATATTAAATGGACATTTGCGCGACATCTGTGATATTCGAATATTTACAATATGTAATTTGAAGCACTTTCTTTATAATAAAATTTATATTTTTATTCCCCAAATATTTACGTGAATTAACAAAGGGATTGTTTCTGCTTAGTCATGATCGAAATTTGAGCCTTCAATAGACTTCATCCCTTAGCATATATCAATGTTTGGACAATATCGAGTGCACTTCCCTCAAAGCATCGATAAATCGACGATGACTCTCATAATTTATCGGATGACGTCACCGTCTCGCTCCCGGGTCGATCATCGTGCGATTTGATGGAAAAAACAAAATTAAATTACACTCCCATTATGTGGAATCGTTTCCGATGCGGGGGTGACAGTCGTGAATCCGAAGTTTGTTCGGGGGCGAGCTTCTGCCAACCAATCCTGCGTTTCGTCCGTCGTCGCGCGGTCGATACATGGAAAACGCACCTACGAGCTATGACTCATCGCGACCTTCTCCAAAAAGGTGCACTCGCGAGAGAACGATCAGGGTCGAGCTAACAATTCATCGCCGAGAATTGATACAAGCAAACATACATAGATAAAATTCAGTAAAACTGATATTTCAAACAACGAGTCAATCTTAGAAGCGTTTTATGTGTTTCTCTGTGAAATTTTCTTTCTAATAATAATAATTAAAATTTATTATTTCGGAAAAGAAATCTGTAATATTTATGCAAAGATATCTTATAATAATTTTGTTAAGAGTCGAAAAACAATTAAGCTTTGTGAGCCTAATATTGCCGAGAGCTCACATTTGGAAAATTTCATCCTCTTTAAGGAAGTCCTCTTAAGAAGTGTCCTCTTTGTTTTCTTTTTCTGCTTTTCTCTTTTTCTAGATTCTGGCACGGTCCGTGTCTGCAGCGGGTGAAGAAGGAGAGGAAAGAGGGTGTGTGGAAACGATCGATGAAGAACTGCTGTTCTTGTGCCAAAGCGAGTATAAAAAGATATAAATCGTAAAAATAGTTTGGAAACTAAGAGTCATGGAACGAACCTACTACGTCAGTTCGTACAAGCGTGTGTTATGACTCATGGATTAGCGCCGGGGGTATGCGGCACCCTTCCACCCTCTATTGATCTCTGCATTTCTATATAAGCTCACGATTCAAGAGAACGAGAAAATAAGAGAAATTTTACGTATGTTATTACGTAAACTGCGTCAGAATAAATGTCACAGTTCAAAAAGTTTAGATTGTAATACAAGATTTTTTTTCTAAAAAATAAAAACAAAATTTATTTGAATTCTCTTTTTTTATTCTGTGTTCAATTTTTGAATAATAGAAGATACATATTTGTTTCTCTCTCTCTCTCTCTCTCATTCCGTAATTCATAAAAAAACATTCATGAAATATATATTACACAGTCGAAATTTATCTAAATAAATCGATCTTTCTAAAAGACCTCGAAATTGTTATATATCACGTTATTCAAAAACAATCGAAGAAAAATGTCGAGAAAACAGAGGGAAATTCAGAAAAACGTGACATCCAGTCGCGCATCATTATTACGCTTCACTGTGCATTGTAAACCTCACGGAATGCATTTACGGGCTTCATCTCGTAAACAGGCACAATGCGTGCAGTGTTCGCAATAGAACGCGCAATGCAATAGGTATACCTATAATCGTAGGTTATGCACGTCGAGTCTTCGTGATAGTCGGCACGTGATGACATTACTATCGAGGGAAAAAAGGGGAGAGAAGGGGGACGTATATAGAAATTGGAAGTAGGCAATTGGAGTTTCAGTGATAGGTACGAACAGCAACGTAAATATAATCGCGAGAAAAGAATTGACGCTTTTTACAATGTTTTTTTCGGTCAACAAGAACAACGATTCTAAAATGTGTAAACGCCGCAGAAGAATATATGTGCATTTACAAAACACTGTTCTCTAATCTTTTAAGTTAAACCAGATATTTTTTATCATTTTCGGTGACGTTCACAGATATATATTTTCTTTCTTTTCTCTATAGAATTATTTTCTTCCTTTATAGAAGAGAATTCTTTTTTCGGACCCTAGAAATTTGGCTTCTTTGTGGTGTTTCGATTTTTAAAAGAAAAGCAAGCCCATTAATCTGTCAGCTCGCACAACAAATTAAAAAAAGATACGATAGTCCGTTCTCTGACCTGCGACAACATTCTTGAGTATTTGCGAGCCTTCTTGACACCATTGTGTCTTGGTAACTTTATTCGTTTCGTTAAGACGGAGGCGTCTTTGTTGACAACAATACACTGCTGTGTTTATCGCACTTGTATACACAATTAAAAAGAAAAAAATTTAGCCATAAAACAGACAAGAGGCATTTAATTGTTACCAACTTTTTGATTGGATTTTTATTTTGTTAAAAAAAAAACATTTTCAAAATTAAACTCGACAATTTTACATTTAAATTGTTTCCGCGTAAAGCAATCAATTTTTGTTATTAAACACATTTTTATTAATTTTAATTTCATTATATTAAAACACTGATTATGATATTTTACATTTACTTGCATTATTATTAGTTACTAGTATTTTTCCGGACTGTAAAATCTGGAGATATACTGGCAGACGCGTATTCAAAGTTCTTTATTATTTCTCATGGTTTACTTACATTCAACTTGACTCGCCAGGTTATT